ATTAGATCTTTCTAACTTCTCTTTGTTAAAATATCTATCAACTTCAATGTTTTTTCTTTGTTATACTGTACAGAATTGTGAGAAATGTTTATTGCCGATTTGTTATCACAATAAAGGCATATTTGACTATCCTACTTGATTCTTAGATCTTCTAGGAATTCAACCACAGTAACTTACATACCCATTAACAATTATTCGGAATTCTGACTCTACTCTTAATCTTACAACTATATTTTGCTTTTTATTCCTCTAAATGACCAAGTTACCTGTAAGGAAGGTACAGTAACGTATAGTAGATTTTCTGTCTACTATTGATCTTGCATAGTCTTTGTCAGTGTAAACTTGAAAGATCAATTTATCATTCTTTTTAAATATTATGTTGTCCTCTGTCGTTCCCTTTAGATAGTGTAATACTCTTTAGAATTATGCATGAACTGACTTATTACAATCATTGTTGTGTGATAGGTAAATCAATCTCCCAACTAGTTTTTATTACATCACTTTATTTATTTTTGTATCCTGTTCCGCTAATCCCAACTTCTGCTAATCCCAACTTATAATTAGGGTCAACAAGTGTACTACCTAGTTTACATGCTAGTTTACTTGTATCTTTCAATATATGATTTATGTATTTCTACTATGAGATGAAAATTCCTAATTTTGAATGAGTTACTTCGATAATTAGTAAGTACTTATGTTTTCTCAATTCGTTGATTTCAAACTCTTTGGCTAAACAACGCTTAAGTCTAGGTTTTTCTTCTTTATCATCCATTGTCATTATAATATCATCAACATATATTAGAATAACAGTAATTCTCATGAATCTGAGTGCTTGATAAGTAGAATGTGATCTCTCTGATTCTGTTTGTATCCCATGTCTAACATTACTTCAGAAAACTTATTAAACCACGCCTTAGGTGACTGTTTGAGCCCATAAAGTGCTTTTTTAACTTTATACACATTGTTTATGTCCGTTTTGTTGGTAAATTCTGGTGAGATTTCTATGTAGATCTTTTCTTATGACTCTTTGTGCAAGAATGCATTTTTGATATCAAATTGTTGTAATGGCAGCCGAAGTAAGCAGTTAGAAATAGCAAAACTCGCATTGTATTCACTTTTTGCAACGGGCATGAATGTCTCTTCATAGTTTATTCCATAAGTTTGGATATGACCTTTGACTATTAGTCTTGCTTTATACCTTTCAATTGTTCTATTTGCTCTGTATTTTACATTGCGGGTTGTTTTCCTTTGGACAAGTCTTCTATGTCTTAAGTATCGTTCTATTTTAGTGCTCGCATTTCAACAATCATGAGATTTTTTCATTTCTCATAAAATAATGTCTTAAATACAATGTTAGGAATAAAACTCAGCGTTAAGACTCATGAGAAAAGTTTTGTGAGATTATGAATATTTATCAAAGAACACAAATTTTCAAGTAGGATACCGTTGATATTTGGTGCATTCCCTAATTCCTTTATGAATTGCAAAAAGTACATTGATATCACTTTGGGTAGGGTTTTTGGGACATATCTTAGTTCAAAAAATTGTTTTTGATGTTTGACCATGCCTTAGCTCTGGGCCTAGGTTCTTCCTCCTTGAATACAAATAAGTAAATTTCGGGTCATGTAAGGCTTCTTGGGTAGACTGACTATGAGAGTTTTCTTCTAGTGGTGTAGGTGGTAAAGCTGGTGTAGGTGGTAATTATTGAAAATTTACGTCCATTGAAAGATTTGTACCCTTATCTTCCAACATAGGCTCCCCATGGAGATAAAGTTAGATAAAATTAGGATTTTGTCTCAATAAAGGTAACATCTGCATGTTTATAAAATTTATGTATAGATGGATGATAGTACTTGTACTCCTTTTGGGAAGAGGAGTACCCAATAAATACAAATTTTAAAGCTCTAGGGTCAAGTTTCCTTCTCTAGTGGGTATTGATATGAACAAATGCGATACACCCAAATATCTAATGGACTAAATAATTTATGATATTGACCTCTAGATAAAATTTGGAAACGGTTTCGAAAGGGCTCTTAAAATTAAGAACACTAGAAGGTAATCAATTGATATTTCATGTAGCAGTAAGGGCTGCTTCCTCTCAGTACTATTTAGGAACATGGTTCTGGAATAAGAAGACTCAAATAGTTATAAGGATGTGACTATTCTTTCGTTCTACTACTTTATTTTGTTGTGGAGTGTGGACATATGATGATTCATAAAATAATTCTTTCTTATCTATAAAAGGAGGACTGTGTATGATTAAAAAGTATTTTGTATTATCAGTGTGGAATCTTCTTATATGGGTTCTAAACTGAGACTTAATAATTTTACAAAATTATGTAACTCACATTAGATTTTTGTTTTAAGTAAAAAAAGTTGCATGACTTGTGCAATCATCATTGAATGATACAAACCATCAAGGCCCAAATATATTAGGAGGATGGACAGATCCCTAAATATCATCATAGGTTAATGAAAAAGGAATGTTGCTTTCTTTCATTGTTATTGGGAAATGTTATACGCTTATATTTAGTAAATTCACGTGCATCGCAATGTAAATTTCTACCAACAGAGTTTTTAAAAAAATATAACCTTCAAAATAAAGAAGAAAGATGATCAAGTTGTTTGTGGTAGAGCCAGAGTTTGGTGGTATAGTCTGTAGTAATATCAGAGAAAGATAGCCTAGGTGCATGCAAGTAGTATAATCCGTTCCTGCCTTTAGTATGTCCAATCATTTTCCTTGAGTTTGAGTCCTAAAAATCACAATGAGATGAAAAAAATGTTATTTTGCAATTCAGCTCCTTAGTTAAATTAGTGACTAATACAAGATTAGAACAAAGTTTAGAGACATGTAGCACATTTTCATGAAGTAGATTAAGGCTAATCTTAATAGTACAAATCCCTGCAATGGTGTTTAGATACTCATCCATAGTAAAATTTTCGTATTACTTGGGCATGAGAAATACATGTAAAAGTATTTTAAGGATTGATCATATGATCAGTGGCCCCTCAGTCTGTAATAAGTTATTTCTCAAATGATGTAGATGAAACATGTAAACCATGTGGGTGGGAAAACATATCTGAATGTGCTGATAGACCTTTACCTGTTGACTTCTCCAGGTCCTTAAACATGGGTTTTAGCCATTGAATTTCAGCATTGGATTCACTTAGGTCAGTAGTTTTCTCGTCCTGGAGATTAACTAGGATTGTCTCTGAGGCTTCTGTGTGGAGATTTGTACTCCCATTCTTTACTTGAGGTAGTGGGCTTCAGGTGGAGTTTCCAACATTTTTTCTTGGTATGTCGAGACTTCTTACAAAAGGTACACTATAAATTATCCTTATTGTCTCCCAAGTTTTTATTATTACTTGGCTCTTTCCCTTGTTGATGTGGTTTGGAGTCTTTAGTCGTCATTGCTGATTGTCAGTAGCGTGAGTTTCTAACATAACCCCTCTGCTGCTCGCTTCAGCAATAACCAAAGATATTACCTCATTTAGATATGACATTTTTTCTTTTCCCAAGATCTGAATTCTTACTTGATCATATTCTTCATTGTCTTGTCATGAATTGATATGTTGTCTTTCTTTACCATCTTCTTTAGGGTAGTGATATCTTTGCTATGTTCCACAGTGAAGCAATGATATTGATCAAACTACTACCATCAATTTTTTAATACTCTGTGACCGGTTTATTTCCCTGTTTTGCTGACTAAGTTTTTATAGTTAGATCATAGATTAAGGCTGTATCTTTTATCTTGGAATAAGTTTATCTGGTTGAATCTTATATTTCTTTTGCATTGGGTAAGAACATAACAGATTGCTTATCTTTGGTGTGATTGAGTTCCAGAGCCAAGCCATTATCATCAGATTGTCTCCATCCCATGCATCAAAATTTGGGCCTCTCAGTTTTGGTCCGGTGCGCAGAATATGAATGATTTTTAATCTTCCTTTTAGAATGGTTCAAATTAATTGTGACCAATGCAAGTAGTTTTTTTTCCACTGAAGTGATAAGCAACATGGATCAGCTTGAATTCTCCATTAGTTTCTACAGAATTTTTCATATGGGAATTTGTGTCAGTGATTTGAAATGTAGACTCTGACAGACTTCAAGTTTTAGGCAATTAAGGTCAATTAAATAAAGCAAAGAATAAGGAGTTTACCAACTGAACAGTGGCTATGATGTGGATGATTAATGGTGACTGTAATCAAAATGCGGCTGGACAGAGGTGGCTGTGTGACAGGAGCATGGCTGGGAAGCGCATAAGCATTAGGGCGGCAGACGCAGCTGGAAGTCTGCGCGGCTACAGGTAGCTGGCTGGCGCAACTGCTGGCTTGCGGCTGCTGGTGATATTGACTGGCTTCTTTCCGACTATTAAGACCAGTGGTGGCTGGTGTACTGACCAGCTGTATGAAGGCTGGTCCCCTTCGGGGTTTTTTTTTTTCCGACAATAAAAACCGAATAGGAGTTGCAAAAGAGTTTAAGATTTCTAAATCTGAGGCTATATGTCATGAATAGTTGTATTGTATTCTCATTGAATGGTACATTCCTGTATATAAAAATTCTAGGGATAAGAAAAATAAATATTACAATTAATTACAAATGATATGTTTTATTTCAATATTTCAGTATATTTTACTTTAGTACTCTGTAACCTAGTTTAGCCTTATTATACATAAGGTACATTCTTTAACAAAAAATATAAACAAAATAAAACCTTCACTGCTCCTGAATTTCCCTATCTAGAGAGGGCATTGTGAAATCTGCATACAACAAATTGTAATCTCAAAACAAGGTGAGTTTTAGATCCTTTTGGTACCAGATTCGGAAAAGCAAGGCTTCTTGCATTTCTTCATATTTTTTTTTCTACTGAATAATCTAAGTTTTCCCAAACTATTAAATCAATTAGTTCTCGATCAAGTGGGCAACACTCTGAGAAATAATGAAGTCTCTCGAAGTTTCAAGAAATCTTGCAATCTTAACTTTGGCCACCTTTTTTTTGCAGAAATTCATTCATTGGCAATTTGGCCCTTTTCTATGAAATGGAAGAGAAGCTTCGCCAGGTTCATATAATTTCTATGAGTTTTACTTTTCTTTCCATGTTTTTTGAGATTTTCTGCTTTAAAAATGCTTGAATTCAATCCCATGTCTCGAAAGATAGAAAAAAGAGATTTTGCCAATAAAGATCGTGGTGTTTCCTATCTTCAATTATTTTATTCAAGATGATATTTTAATATTTCTTGAGTTGCATATGATCCCTTAATATTATCATTATGTTTATTTGTTCTAATCTTTATTTCTTTCTGGTGAACAATGAAATATGGCACAATTGCACCCAGAAAAATATTATATTATGGATATAATAAAATGCTGGTATGAAGGTACAATAGCTCTAGCAGAAGAAGGTGCACAAATTGACATTAGGATGCTGATATATCAATTACATCTGATAAAACCTAATATAATGGCGCTTACTTTTTAGAGTGCACAAACTCCAGGTTCTTTGGTAGACCCAGTAAAATTTTGAACAAAACAAATGGCTACCCTGGCTGAGAAAATATTATATTTCTCTTTCATATTTTGAAGTGCTTGTGTTCTTCAAAAAAGTGTTTTGAAATGTTTGTCTCATCATCCTTCATAATCAGTCATTTTTCTTTCTTTTAGCTTTTTGCCACTTTATATTTCAATTTGTTACTGATCATTCAACCTCAAGATTTAACACCATTTTCTCCCACCATAAAAGCAGTTGTGCTTATAATTGGTTAGCCATGCTCCCCTTTGTTATTCACTCCAGCTAATTGGTTAGGTTCATTGGTGGTGTCAAGAGAGTAAGCAACCAGGCATTGAGGCCAAATCCTTCATCCTCACTGTTAAGGAAGGGGGAAATTGTTTCAACTTCAACACCGCTTGAAATTTTCAAGAGAACAAGTTCCAGATATCTGCATGGCAAAGAGGGCACAAGATAGTTAATGACTCTCTCAGGAATATAGAGGGAGGGGAAAGAGCTAAGAAACTTTTGAAGCTTCATTCTTGAACTAATAAAATAATTTCTAAAATCACTTCAGAAATATTCCACACATTAAGTTCGTATTTAACCTGCAACTAATATGAAACTTATTAGAAGCCTCAAGTGGGTAGAATATAGAAAATATATAAAGCTTAAAAGAAAATTATTGTATGTGACAGAACGAGGCAGCACTAAATTGAAACCATCTTGTTTGTTCTTAAACTTTTCCCGGTCACCCTTATTTCATTTTCCGATCCCAAAAAAAATGACCCCAAGGATGTGGCTGTGGATCAGAGTCATCCTTTTAACCAATGAGGATGCGCTTGATTGCTGTGAATTATCAGCTGTGTTATATGATTTTCGTGTTCTATAGCTGTTCGGTTTGATATGCTTATTGTCAACTGATGTCATTCTCTATTTGTCATAGATACTAACTTTATAGTTGTTATTAATGTTTATGCATGTTTGGTTGCAGGGGCACAACATTGTTTTGATGTCCAACCACCAAACTGAAGCAGACCCTGCTGTTATTGCATTATTACTTGAAGCAACAAACCCAAGTATTGCTGAGAACATGGTGAACTTATCTTTCTATTCTGAGCTTATTCAAAAGACTTGTCTGCATTGAAAATGATTGCGTAATCAACGCATGTGTCGTCCTGCAGAACTATGTGGCAGGGGATAGAGTTCTTACAGACCCTCTCTGCAAGCCCTTCAGCATGGGAAGGTACTCCAATAATTTTGTATATTTATCAATGTAATCTGATTAGAAGCTAATTTAATTATGAGTAAGAAAATTTGTGTGTGAATTTGTAACCTTTTGGATTTATCAGGAATCTCATATGTGTGTACTCAAAAAAACACATGTACGATGTTCCCGAGCTTGTTGAGATGAAAAGAAAAGCAAATACACGTAGTTTGAAGGAGATGGCTTTACTATTAAGGTATTCATATCTTTTTTTCTTAATTTTTTGTTTATTTGTTTTCTTTTCAGTTTTTCTGACAGAGATTAGGATATACATAAAGATCTCTTACACTTCTGGAGTTTCTTGTAAATAATATTCTTGAGGAGAAGTCGTTTTCGAAGTAGTCGTACCTCAGTTTACAAGAAAAACCTTAAATTTGTGGATTTCGAACTTCTGACTTTTTAATGTCTGCTAATTTTATTCATTTTAAGTTGGTTTCTTTTGATCTTGAAAACTTTACCATAGTAGAAAGTATCCTCATGCGGGTAGGACTGACTAACTATTGGTTACCTGTTAGTGTGTTCTTTCCTGCTCCAGCAATTTATGGTGGCAACAGCATTATTTTGGTGAAAGACCTTCGTTATCTCAGTGTATAGTTTGGTAGTTTATTTTTCCATTTCAAAACAGAAAGTCAGGGTGTATTAGTTTTTTTGAGATATACTATGGATATGAAGTTGCATTTTAGACTTCGATTTGTGTATAATTTTTCAAATGCAATGCACATGCTTAATGACTAGTAAGTTAGTTTCTTTGCTTTTTCAATGGAGAGTAGTTTCTTTACTTTTTCAATGGAGAGTCTCAGTCCATTTACCATCAGCTTTCTGATCAAATTTACTTGAGTGCAGGGCCGGATCACAAATAGTGTGGATTGCACCTAGTGGAGGCAGGGATCGCCCAGATCCTCTTACCGGAGAATGGAATCCAGTAAGTTTCTGCACCTTCTACCTTTGGCCGACTTAGGGAATTCTTAGTTCTGATATGGTTCAATTCTTGTGTAATTCCTATATTAACTAATCTTGATATTGTAGTTCCATTTTCAAGTTTAAATCCCCGTCCTCTCATTTTCAATTCTCTAGGGTAGATTTCCAGTTACTCTTATTACCATTTCATCTTATTGTTTAAAGGGTTCGGAAATGGATGGAAGATATTATTACTACCAGAACATGGGTTGTTTTGATTCCTAGTTCTTCTATCCTTGTTACCTGTATTTTGTGGGATCTAGGAACAGTGCTCTGATTACATAGTGCTTCCTTTTACCTAAAGACTGAGGTCCTGAAAAACTGGTTTTACCCTGGCTAGTCCTTCATGATTTTGTTGAATGTCCTCATTGATACAAGAGTGTAAATTTTTGTTTTCTTTTCGGCAAGAAGTTAGTGATATTATTTTGTCAATACTTTTAATGTCACTCTTTTTTCTGAAATGTAAAGTGTGAATTGTATAGATGTAGGCAATAATTTCAATATCACTTACACTCAAGAAAAAGAAAAGAAATACTTATGTCCCAAATATGTAGAGTATGTGGGATGCTGCATTTTGCCAAAAGTAAAACTAGATGATTACAGATTTGTTTGCTTAGATGACTAATGAGTTCGATGGACTAAATATGTTAGGTGGTTGATTATTGTTTTTTGTCGTTTGCTTTGTAAGATGTCTAAAATACAACAGTTGGTAAAATATCAAATATATTTCTTTTGTTGATTTTTGCTGTTTCACCCTGGTATATTTGGTCTTTGTGATATTACATAGGCTGCTGCTACTCTTTGGGTCTTCTCTATGGTACCAAAAGATAACAAATATTAAAACCTGTTCTTCATCAGCAGTATATTATTTGTCATATCATTGTTAGGGTGTCATTATATTTTTATGTACTGATATAAGGGGGTCAGGCGCCCTTTGATTCTTCTTCAGTGGATAATATGAGAAGGCTTGCTGAACATTCTGGTGTTCCAGGACATATTTACCCATTGGCCTTGTTGTGCTATGACATCATGCCCCCTCCACCTCAGGTGTGTACTTGTCATTCTCTTTCTTTACGCTCTTCCTCCTTTTGTGACTTAATTGCACTTGTTCAGGTAGAGAAAGAAATTGGGGAGAGAAGAGTAGTTTCCTTTCATGGGGTTGGGTTATCCTTAGCACCAGAAATAAGCTTCACTGAAATCACCGCTGCTTGTGAAAGCCCTGAAGAGGTTGGTTAAATTTATTCCAATGGATATCCACTTCACAGCTTTTCGTTATAGTTCCTGATATTTTTGTCTTTGGCATTTTATATATTATCTTTTATCAGTTTTTTTTTTTCGTGTATACCAATATTAAATCGGGGAAAAGCAGGGTTGTTGGGCACTCAATTCCATTAGAGAAATTAACAGTTTTATTCATAAGCTGTCTGTTCAAACTAACATCCGTAACTAATATATTGTTCATAAGTAATACTTCTAACCAAAAGACTACACTAATGTAAACCTATTTGAGTAGTTCCTAAATAAGCTTAATATCCCAAATAATACATAAATATTGTAGTTACAGAGATATCCCATCATATTGAAATATATCAATCAATTGACTTTTTGTACTGCATCAGTTTCCCAATAACTTCTCTGCTGTGACTATTTGTATGTGGTGTGTGCAACTTGCATGTAATTGTAGCTTAAGATGTGGGGAATCTCTCTTCAAACTCGTCTCATATTAGCAAGTTGTATGTAATTGTAAGCTAAGATGTGGAGAATCATCTCCCTTCAAACACATCTCCCGTTGTCATTGTCATTTTTCAAACGATGTTTTCATTTTCAGCAACTTGAAATATTTTTGTATGTAAGCATGTTTGAACTTAGAAGATAAAAAAATCAGAAATTTTTTTCATGTATCAAATGGAGTATTAATGCTGAAAAGCTAATTTATGCTTTAGGATTAATACAGATTTCAATGTGGCTTAGATTCAAGTCTATTCTATTCCTAGATCCTAATCATTAAATATGTAAATCTAATGCTTAAATATTTGGTGCATAATTAAGTTGCTCAACTCATCTTCAATCCCACAATGATCTATTCATGTTCTCATTTTTTTTTTTTAAAAAGGTATTGCACTCCCACTTGTCAATAGAGGAATTAGAAAACTTGTAAATTAGATTGATAATGAAATTGATTTGGAATTGATTTTTTATTCAAAATCCTATTGCATTTGTACTGCATTTGTACTGCATTATCATTCTCATCCATAGAATTGAAATTTAAATCAAATAAGACTGGAGTACAGGATTATATACATTCCTAATCTACAACTTAATGTTTTAGAAGGTGCCAATAGGAATCTGATACTATAGAGCTCTCGCATGCCCATCTTGCAAATCAATATATGAAATTTTTTACTAGTGCACCTTTGGTGAAAGTATTATCAAGTTGGTCTTAAGAGATTACATAATATATGTCTATGAGACCACTGCTTATCTTTTCCTTGATGAAGTATTAATCGATCTCAATATGTTCTCTTTTGTCATATTAGATTGGGTTGTCTGAAATCTTGATTGTAGCTTTCTTGTCCCAATATAGTGTTAGACCTTTTGTATCTACTATATTTAACTCGCATATTTGTTATTGGAATTAAGTATAATTCGCACAAACCTTTCATCATAGCTCTGAATTTGTGGTATGCACTGGTCCTTGCCACTACTAACTATTTCTTCTCCAAATAAGCAAGTTACCATCTACAAAATAGATTATGTTTTTGCGGAGAGATACAGACCATTCTCTCTTATTTGGCCACCTCAATGAGAAAGTATCTCAAATCCTTGATGTAAAGGCCCAAACCCCATTTTTAGGATTTCGGCATTTAGTCCGATCATAATAATTTAGTAATACTGAAATTATCATTGCGCAGAAGAATTAAAGATTTAAAGGTTACATTTTTTGTACATTTACTTAGAATATTCAAATAGGGGCTACTGAAATGTTTAAAACTTAAAACGAAAGATAGCTACTACTATAATGATTAATCTCAATTCAAATATGGCAGGACGGATAAGGATGATGTTCTAATCTATTCTCTCACTATTCTGAATCTGGATCTTGATCGTCATGATCTAAAATTGTAAGAAGAAGGGGGTGAGCAACACTAACCCAATAAAATTGCCAAAAATCTTACCGCCGACACAGTAACTAAAGGATTGTAGAAAATATAAAATGACCGATAGAGCATTCACTTTGTATTAAAAACCATATTGGTGCGGTCATACCCTTCCTTTTTATGGAAAACAATTTATTTCTTACTTTCTTATTAGACAACTTTCATGCAAAAACATTTAGATATGTTCAGGAATATAATAAAATGTTATTAATGGTTTACCATTCCTTTAGCCATCTTATAATATTATTTTCGTCCACCGGTATCTATGGGCCCCATAGGGATTCCTCCTACTCGTGGATATCTACGTTTCTTTCACAAATATCGGCCGTTCCCACATCCCGTCCGTTAATGAGTGTACCTAATGATATTTAAGGACTCGAACTCTCATTCAGAATCTTGATCACCTCCCACTGTGTAATGATAAATAATTTACAGAAATGTCTCGCATAGCAAATATTTAAAGATTCAAAAGTACATCCCTTACACACTTAATTTTAAAATGTCTAAAATTCAAGAGATGTGTCTAAGTCATGAATTAAATACTTACTACAATGAAATGAACAACTTCAACTACTGTCTAGGTTGAAGTAAATTAGAGGGGAACAATCTCCTAGCAATCTCTCACCATTGGGAGCGAGATCTAACATCTGATCTGAAAAAGATAATAAATTGGGTGATTTACATTAGCTCAATAAAGATATAGAAACCAAACAATAGAATGGCTCATTAAAGTGTTGTAGAAAACAGTAAAACAGCCAATGTAACATTTACCTTAATAAAACTAACTTTAAACTTAGAAACATGTTTAATTTCCTCACTTCATACTCCTATTCCTCTAATGCAGAGTTCCCATTATTGTTTTTTATTACAATCTTATGCTCTCTTATAATTACCATCATATTTTATCAAATTTATATTCAACTAATTTTGTTTACATTTACAAGTACCGCCAACCATATCAGATATATAATCAAGTAGCTTTTATTTAAAAAAAACAACACCATCAGTTTACGCAATTATTCATACACATAACATTAAGATATCATTCGAATCATAATGAGAAGCACAATCAACACACATCTCAATAAATGTGAAGTTTTGAGTTCCTTATCATTTCATTTGAGCACGGTTATTGACCATTTTCATTAATATTACATGTCATTTCCATTACTGGTATCACTGGGGGCCCATAGGAATTCTTGCTATACGTGAAAATACAAAACATTTCTTTTACGATTCATCAGTCGTCTTCGTACTCCGTGCGGTAATGACCACCATAACTATAAACTCACTCAATACTCCGTCTGGTATGAACGTAATATCACCAACTTCCAACCTCATCTGGTATAGGATTTTCCAGCCTCATACGACTGAAGACACATCCACGTTAGAATTCACTTTATGTACCAAGTCCGTACATTCTCTCCTATTTTACTGTAAGTTTTTTTTTTTTTTTTTTCCTTCAAGGATTATTTCTGTTTCATATTCCAACCTCAGAAATTCAAAACATTATAGTTATATTTTAAAATGAAAATTCACATTCAACAACGCGTACATACGTATATCAAGCGCACACATTATATTAAACAAACAGTCTCATGTGTATATGTGTGTCAAACACATACTGTTTATTATTTATATTTTGATATAAATAATTAAATATAATTTATTTAATAGGTACTTGGTTTATACATATTATATATATAAAAGTTATCTATATATATACACATTTCTATACCGCCGTATGCACTCTTTATTTATGCACCCACATTGATGCACACATTCTTAGTAGATATATACACTAGAACACACACTTACTGCGACACGAATACGTAAACCGACACACACACCCCACTCACAAAAGCAATCATGAATGGCCTTTCTTGTGCATCGATCTGCAAAGTATATCCACCCACCACGAAATACAAAATCCCAAACAACTAAAATGTAATTGCATAATCGATTATATACCAACATTTGCATAAAATCAGTTCAATCATCACCATCGGCATCTTACGTAAGTTAAGTTCAAAGTCATAATCATTCTTAAGTGATCTAAAGGCCAAACTTTAATTAAACAATTATGGAGAGGATTGAGATATCCTTACCTGAAGTTTGGTTGGAAAAGGGAGCAGAATTCCTAAGCGCCACCACACGTGCCACTGCCAGAGTCAGCACACGCTGCTGCAAATGAACAGAAATCACCAAGAAAGTCGCGGCATGCCTAGTCCGGAACGAACCTCGCCAAAGTCGCCAGGATTTGGCCTCCCCGCGATCCAACCGTTCCTTCCCCACCGCACGTAGCGCTTTCAAGTTTCCTTTTTTGCCGCCGCGCTGCATGCGAAGAGTGAATTTGCCTTTTTGTCGTTGCGCTGCACACCAAGAACAAATTTCCCTTTCTTGCTGCACCGCGACTCTTTTTTCCCAGCACATCACGCGACAATCGCGTGCGAGCCTTTTCCTTTGGCCGCCGTTTTTTTGCCTCGCGTGGATCGGCTGCTTGTCGCGCCTCCCTTTTTTTTTTTTTTTGCCCCTCTATTCCCCTCTTAGGGTTTCTTTTTTATTTATTTATTATTATTATTGTTTTTATTCCCTTTTATGTTATTTCTCTTTTTTTTATTTTTCCTTTCTCTTGTTTTTTTTTTTTTTTTTTTTTTTGTCGTTACGATCTTCCCCCCTTAAAATAAATTTGCTCCCCAAATTTGCTAGACCTTCTCAAACAATTTTGGATAATTCACCCTCATCGTCTCCTCAAGCTCCCATGTTGCCTCCACTTGAGAGTGATGTTGCTACATGACTTAACTTGTGGTATTACTTATTTCTTAGTGTTTCCTCCTTTCAATCCAATATGCGCGTGGGTACTTCTTCATAGGTTAGATCATTTTCTAGGAGTGGTTCATGTTGCAGCATATGGATGAGGTTAGGATGGCATTTACGTGGTATTAATATGTGAAAGACATTGTGAACTCTTGACAAATCCGATAGTATTGCTATCTTGTAAGCAGTTGTACCAATTCACTTTTGTACTTTAAAAGACCCAATGAATCGAGAGCTTAATATCCTTTCCTCTCTAAATCATAGGAGACCTTTTATCTATAGTACCTTTAGAAATATATGGTTGCCTGTGTATATCTACATATGTATAAATATATATATAATTTTTGTGACTACTAAATCTAGGCTAGTTACATTCCTTTCTCCAACTTCATCCCAAAAGTAAAGGTATATTTACTAAGAACTTGTTTTCCAATATTAGGGATTTTAAAACCTAAGGCGGTTTGATAGTGCGTCACTATAGACCTCTTAAAATTTATTGTGCTTCCAAAAAAGGCTACTATTCTATATTATGTTGGATCTCAAAACTCATTAGAGTAGAATATCTCCAAGCAATAATTTATGCAATTGTTATCACTATCCAACCATGTTTGAAAGTATTATATTTTTGTTTGATTATCATCATGAAGAGTCTTGTAGCAATCTACACCACATTCTCAATTTACCACAAGATTAAGCTCTTAATTACATAGGTAATCCCAATGCTATCTTATGTTCACATAATTCCCGATGTTCATGTGCGTAAATAAGAACTATTTGTTTGCTAACTTTCGAAAATTAATACGTTGATATTTTGAAAATATTCTCCATAGCCTTTAATCGATATACTTTTTAATTATCACCAAAACCAGATACACATTATTCCAATGGTTTGGAATTCTAAGCAACAATTTTTTTTGTTGTCATACTCTTATATAAAAAAATTTACCAATTGTAAGGTTTTCTAACTCCTGGATGTTACTTCGAAAATTTGAAAGCTATGTTTTGGTACTCGAACCTCTCCTCCTTTATTAATGTGATCTGACATCTATGTAATTTATTTTTAGTTAAGTCATAGTGATATTCAAATTCACCGAAGCTTGGATAATTTCTAAATTATTCCAGTACTTGATCAGATTTTTCTGAAAGTCTTCCACAATGTAGCTAGTGAATCATGAGTTTCATAATTGTTACCGTGAATTATTGAGAGTTCTTTTGATAAAAGGTTCTTTATTTAGTTTTGTTACGAGTGGTTATGCTTGGTTCTAGCTTTTTACAGGCACAAAGTTTTCCAAAATTTTCAAGTGACCACTTTTAAGTATGATCTTAGGGAGGGGGTAGCGTATTTATTATATCCTCAATCTCTCTTTATTGGTTCAAAGAGAGGTCTTCCAAGTGTGGTGGTGATGCAAATAAGGGTAAAAACACTCAAGATACTCAAAGAGCATCAGAAGGTGACTTGGAGCAAATTTCAAATGATGTAAACACAAATACAGTTCCAAATCTGGAAAGTTTCAGTAGACCAGTAACAAGATCAAAGGCAAATAAGATTAAAGAGTTGCTCCAAGTTTTTACTCAAAAACATGTGGATGTTGGGCTGGCCAATTGTGGAAAGTTCAAATATTAGCTTTTTGAACAGCCCAAATTCGTAACTTTAATTGGATTTAAGTGATTTGGGATAATTTGGACTTGTTTGAGTCTTATTGATAATGGATGAATAAGTCTT